ACCTGGAGGTTGGGTCGGCCCTGGGCCTGGTTGTGCCCTGCCGTGGACACAGGGTTCAGGCCATGCACTTCTGGTGATTTTATTCTGTTAGGAACAGCACTGGCATTCACACTGAGATACAGCTCCAACTTTTGTTTTATTTATTTATTGTCATTCTTTTTGAGACAGGGTCTCACTGTGCAGTTCAGGCCAGACTGGTATCCAACTTGCAGTGATCCTCTTGCCTCAGCCTCCCAAGTGCTGGGCTCACAAGTGTGCCCCACCACGCCTGACTTATTTCTGTTTCAGATGAGGTCTCACGAAGTTGCCCAGGCTGGATCTGAGTTTGTGATCCTCCTGCCACTGCCTCCCAACATGCACAGCCCCACCTGGTGTAAACCAGAGCAGTTTTGAAAGAGAGGAACAAAGCTGGAGAGGGATAAATGGGAACTCTCCTGCACTTTGCTTCTCGTGATTCATCACTAATATGATCCAAAGCAAAGCGCCTAAGAGATCAGGTGTAGCCCAGAGGCCTCTGGGGAGTCACTGCCACAAAACACTGCCCGCCCTGCTTCCCCAGGAGCCCCTAGCTGCTTACCATAACTCTTGCGTCTGATACCTGCCTACACGTTTCTATATAAACCGCTGTTCTGACTGTTTCTGGTTTCCCACTTTCAGGCGTTGCCTGTAGACTTCTGTGAAAGACCAAAACATGACCGTCAGCTGGGTGTTGGTGGCACACACCTGTAACCCAGCTATCCAGGAGGCTGGAGCAGGAGGATCTCAAGGTTGAGGGCAGGCTGTGCAACTTAGCTTACTAAGACCTTGTCTAGACATAAATAATAGAAAACCTAGGAATGTAGGGCAGTGTGAAGACCCTGGATTGAGTTGCCATTACCACCAGAGAGAGAGGTGGGAGGAGAAGAAAGAAAAAAGGAAGGAAGAGGTAAATAGAAGAAAATGGGATTATATAGCTATTTTTTATAGTGACCTTATTTCCCCTCCCCCACCTGCTCAAGATGGTATAATATTTTTTTAAGATTTTATGTATGCGAGCATGATACTAACGTGATGCTTCTGTACGTTAGTATCATGTAATTACTGTGGCCTGAACCAGTTAATCTACTATGTATTTCTGCTACATTTTTGTTTGCGTTCCCTGATGAGCCAGTAACTTGTAGTTTGATGGCTTTTTCCTTTGTGCCCATCATGGACTACCCACTGCAAAGTACGGTTCTCTCAGAAGTGTCTGTAGGACGGGAAACCTTTTGTTTCTGTTTCCTTCTTGGGCGACACCACTCATAAATTCCTTGATGTTTTGGCGCACTCAGAATGGGTGTCACCAGGCTCAAGGACTTCCCGTCCCCACGTCCCCATGGGTTTGCCGTCTGCTTGGGATGCTATGTCCCTGTGGGAGCCCTGTACAGCGGCAGCTGGTTGGCACGGCCAAGCAGATGCCAGTGACCCCGTATGGATAGGGCAGTGGGCAAAGGAGGCCCTTGGTGTTAGTATCTGTGTGCCTTCTCTTCTGGGCTGACTCAGGTCCCAGGGAGACTGGCCAGGTCCTGTCAGGGGCCCTGACCCTGGCAGTGTGTGTCAGCGTGAGGGCCACACCAAGCAGGTCTAAGGGTCCCTCCCTGCTGCCCTCTAAACAGCTGTGTTGATGTCCCTTCATCTCACTCTCGAGAAGGCAGGCCGGGCAGAGTCCCTCTTTTCACCCAGGCTCACAGATGTTTGGCTCCCCAGTTTCTCATGTTGCTGGGAGTTCGCAAGCCAGCTCGATGCTTCTTCGGTCTTCCTTCTCCAGACATCCGAGTTTCTGCCCTTCACAGTGGGTCACTGCTCACTCATCCCCTTTGCGGCATTGATGCTCCTGTCACATTTCTGTCTTCTGTGGACGCTTCCCCTTTCCCTTCAGGCTGTCGAGTCAGAATCGGGAGACGGCAGAGAGGGAGCATGCCCCTCTCGGTGTCGTGACTGTGAGGTGGGCTTTTTCTGCCCTGTGGAGTCCAGTGCTGCCCGTCCTCTGTTTAGTAACGGTGGTGGTGTGCACCTTGGGCTCACTGCCACTTGCCTGCCCCAACGTTACCCCATGGGTGTGGTGGTGGAGAGGGGTAGACACCGGCCCGGGCTCCCCAGTGTGGAAGGAATGCACAGTCAGCTGGGCACTTGGAGAATTGTTTCTCTAGCAGCTGTTCATCTAAGACTAAAACAAGAAGGTACTTTGTATGTGAATTCGGCAGCAAGTGTAGGGTGGTGCCTGATCATCCTCAAGTATCTAACACTACCGTTTTATTATCCAGTGTGTCCCATACAGATGTGGAGAGTTGTGGCAGGAGGTGCTGAAATACCTTTGTGCCCTTTTAAGGGCTGTAACCAGAATTTGATCTTCCTCTTTCATGCTTCCCCTCCCCTTACTTTATTTAGCTTTTCAGTTATTTGGTTTATCAGATATTTTATGGGAAGTGTGTTGGATTAATTTGTTTTTAAGCTCATTACAACCCTACCTGTGACCTTGCAAAGTAGACTTCCTCTATTTTGGACACCCTGGCAAGGTAAAGACAGCTTTGGCTAATGAAACTACTTCAGCCAGAGCTTCACTGTTGTTCTGACTTGATGAATTTAATAAATTGTATTTTCTGCTAGCTTATGCAGTATTCTAGGGTATGCATGCAGTTAAATGTATCGATTTACTTATCAAAATTCTACTGGAATGCTCTTGTGGTTTTATTTTCTTAACATTTAGAAAGGAACAAATTGACTTAAGCTTTCTCCTCAAGGCTGTTTAAGTCACTTGACATTTTAATGTGGATTTTACTTGAACTTCGGTGCCACACACTTTTTTTAAGACTAGTTCCTGGTTTCTCTCACGGGCATATCATGGTTTCCCACCGTGCTGTGTCACATTGCCTCATGTCTGAATATGGGCCTCATTTCAAAACTCTTTACCTATTAGTTTGACTATAAGTTGGTAGAGACCCACACATATAGATAGTGTCTGTTTCTCTGAATGTGATCAAATATAGTGGCCAATAGAAGTAAATACTTCGTTACTTAAATCTTTTTTTTTTTTTTTTTTTTTTTTGTCTTCTTTTCCTTTTTATCGGTACTGGGGATCGAACTCACGACTGCCTGCTTGCAAGGCAGGTGCTTATGCTGCTGAGCTAAATCCCCAGCCCCTACTTAAATCTTTTTAACCTCCACCTATTAGAAAGGGAGACAGAAACCTGATTTTGGTATAAAGTTACCAATTTTCTAATAACTTGTTTTCTTGGATTCATTAATAAATTTTTCTCCCAGCGTGTTTATGCAATCAAAATGAGGGAGGAATACCTAAGGGACAAAACGCTGCTGCACACACAGAGCGGACCGGAGGTGAAGCAGTTAAACTGATCAGGGCTCCTCATCTCTAGGGATGCAGATTTTCCACGCGAAGCTCTGCTTCTCTGCATTGCCAGCCTCTCCCCAGAGCCCCTTCTCTGGTCTCAGCTGGGCTGTGGTCTAGCTCTCTACCTGCTCTGCGTTGCCTGTGCCATGCTGCTCAGCTCACCAGGGAGCAGACTGTGCTCCTGCTGCGTCTCACTCTGGCACCCATCAGCACTCCCCCTCTCCTCTCTGCCGTGGCACAGTTGCTGTAGCAAGAAGGCACGGATGGCCTCTCCCAGGACATTCTCTCTGCCTGATGGCTTCCTCATACAAGACCCAGCCTCCCGTCAACTCACATGCGCGGCTGTTCTTTCTTCTCCTAGACTTCTGCTCCGCCTGAAGCTTCCCATGACAACAGCAGAGAAGCTATGCTGTCTGACGTCCCTCTCCACCCCCATCCCGTGTGACTTCCCGTGTGCCTCCGTCTTGTGCCTTTTCCTCGGGCCTCTGTACTGTGTGGTCTTCCTTCATAGCTCCCATCTGGTGTGAGTGGCCAAGTTTAGAGCTCTTTTCCACCAGCTAGCTCAGGCTTTTATTCTCAGTAGGCTCTCACTAAACTATTTCCAAGTGAACACACAGTGCAGTGCTTGAGTAAATGAAGGCACCCATTTAGAGATCAGGTTGGTACTGAGAACCGCGTTCATCTTCTGTGCCCTGTTCTCATTGTTACTCGTCCCACAACTGGCCTGTTCTTACTAGGAAAAATACATTGTTCTCTCACATTGTGTAAAGAGCTTTAAAGAAGAAATATTTAAAACTAGTCTCCCATAAAAATTACTAAACCGTAGAGCCTAACAAATAGGAAGTATTGGGCTTCATTCTGCTCGCTTAGAAGAGCTCATACTTCAGATGGAAGGACAGTGAGTTTACTAAATGTAAGAAACAGAAACCAGATTTAAATAACTGTAAGTGCATATTTTAGTCTGATTACTTTAGATGTAAGAAGTCTACCTATGTGTAGAAATATTACCAGGGAGTTTGGTCATGAATAGAGATGACTACAGAATCTCATTGTTGAAATAAAACAAAACATTCGTTTGATCATTTAAAAATTTGTGGATTCAAATAATAACTGAGTGGTGGTGATGGTGGAGATGAAAGTAAGAGCTTGCTTATGAGACCCTCTACTTGCAGAAGACACCTTCTCCTGAAGGCACCAGCCATTGTTAGGAATGGTCCCAAGTCTACAGGAATACTGCTGGTGGTCCATCTCCTCCCAGTGTGTTTTCTAAATTATTAAAGTCACAGAATAGTTGCAGAGGAGTGTTTATAAATTGATAACGTGGAAATCAAATATTATTTCATATATTTAAGAACAAATTGTTTAAGTATTTGACTTCTCTCAGACAGCAATTTGTATTTCTAGTTATCATGAAACTTGTCCTTAGCCAAGTATTTATTTCTATTCATGACTTTCATACAACATGCAGAGTCTGGGCTTCTTGGTCGGGGACACAGCTACTTCAGACCTGTGGGGTGGTCGCTGCCATCCGTTTTGTCTGTCTCTGCTATGTTGTCAAAGTGCCTCTCGGGAGTCCTTGCCCACAGAACCCTCGCAAAGCTATCATCTTGTTCTCTTGCTGTGTCCCTTCCAGGTACTGTGGTCTTTGGAGCTGGGTCATTGGATTTCTGAGGAGCCTTTTGAACTCTCTACCTACTTCCCAGCAGCTCCTGTAAGTCAGATTTTTTTTCTTACGATAAATGCAGTCTTGTTTGCATTGGAAACCAGTGTAAACATAAACTCCACTTACTAGGTCAAGTGCAGTCATGCTGAAATTAAAGACATCCACAGAACTTAATGCCTTTTATTTATGAGATCATATTGAGAATGTGATGATACTCTGTAAAATTGCAGTAAAAAATGTGATCTCAAGAAAGTTTAGATAGGAAAAGCTCTTAGGATTGAGGAAAGCAAAAGTAATTTTAAAAACTGTACTCTTGGGGCTGGGGATTCAGCTCAGCGGCATAAGCGCCTGCCTTGCAAGCACACAGTTGTGAGTTCGATCCCTGGTACCAAAAAAAAAAAAAAAAAAAAAAAAAACTACCCTTGGGAAGGTGGCATTGTATCTTTCATGCTGTTTTAAACACAAATGCCTTTAAAAGTAGAGCTGAGATATATAAAAATGGTGGCTTGTTAGCATTTTAATATAATCTTTATATTTTGATGGTTTTCCTAAACTCCACTTCGGTGTAACTGACTTTTAAGTGTTTCAAGTGTTTAATGGGGAAGTTCCAGGATCTGTTTTTTTCAAAGATTAAGCAGTAACGACGTGCGTCATCTGACATTTTATTGGAAGCACAGCAGTAAGAAGTCAGCTTTCATTTTCAGAGTTGTTGGCTGCTGTGTTAGCTGATTCTGTCAGGAGATTGGTGGCCTGGCTGCACCATCCTCCCTCTGTACTGCGTGACTGCCCAAGTCACCGCTGGCTGTGACGTAGTGGGGCGCTGAACTCTAAGTATAGTCACTGCAACTTTCTAGGTCACTGCATTGTTTTTGTTTTCATTTTTAGGATTACTGTTTTGATTTCCTTTCAACTTTGTAAATGTTTTCCTAAGGAGAGAAAAAATTCCTCTCAGCAGGACCCTTTGTTTGAAATACAGCATAAGGAATTGAAGTGTAAAGTAAAAACACAAATTCCTCTCATTCTCTGTCAAATGAGATTATATATAACTCTGAGTAACACAGTAGTTTGTCTTTGAAATTTGTTTTTCCTGCCTACATGAGAAATTGATATAGTGGTTTGTTGCCAGTTTTTTGTGTTACCATTTTCTTACCTCAGCATCTGTCATTATGGCCATAGAGATACTACAAACTTACATGGGCTTTTGAACCTGAGAAGTGTTCTAGTTACCAGAATTCTTAAAAACCAAATGTGGATTTATTAGAGCCTCATTGAGTTTTTGAGTCAAATGCCACAGTGGGATCGGCTCTCAGCCAGGAAGGCCTAAGGGGAACTTGACTATGGGGAGCAGCGTGGACGACAGCCTGCAGGCGATCAGCATGCATAGGCCAGGCCAGCTCTGAGCAGCACCACTTGCCCTAATGCCACACTTGCAGTGCAGGGTGAGCCGAATACAGGAGAAGGCAGAATAAAGGGGAAGCGTAGGGCCGGAAGACATGGAGGTACACACTGGAAGTGCCAGCTCCCTTCCTAGCTCCTACCTCAGAGTGACCATGAGGAACTGCTTCTGAATATTATGCAGACGTTCATTATGCAGACTGACAGGAGCTTCCAAAGAAGCTAACACTGTAGGAGCCAAGACTTTGCAGTCCTAAGAGAAAAGCTGCACCCTCAAAAGTTCTCTGTGCACTTTGGGTATACTCTGAGCATAGGAGTTTGTTCTCTGAAACACTCTTTCCTTTCAGGGTGCTGATGGAAGTCAAACATTCTTTTTCATGCAGATTATTTGTTTCTTAAATAAGTAAAATCTTGAGCAGTATAGCTTCGTAAATGTCTCAGATGAATTGCTTTTCTCAACCACAAATTAAATTTAAGCTTAGTCCATAAAATAAATCTAGCTAGATGAGAAAATAGACCACATTGCCATTCTAGTGAGAAAAAAGTGTCTTTGTCATAGACTTAAATGTATAATTTCCTTCATTAAAAATTAAACTTTTTGTCATGGGCACAGTTGTTTCATAACCAAATTATAGAACTTATAATCATAAAAGTTAAACATATCTCAATAAGTTACATTTCATTACTAAAAATACCTTCATATTTAACAGTCAGGCAGAATAAAAATAGTACACTCTTCATATAAACCCAAATAGCAATTACCTCTATTAGTAATTTTAAAGATCGTAGAAGTTCATACCATATAAACTTGAAGTATGTATCTGAGCATTAACTTAGAATTAAGCTGTCAAGAGATATGTAAATATGATGTATTTAAAATACAGACCTAAAGCACGTAAGAGGAGTTAAACTGCACTATGTTTTTCCAAATGGTAAACTGTAATAAGCACTTCTCAGAAAAATCCCTGAATATATATTGTATTTTGATGGCTTAGAAAATTCTGACTTCCTTTTAATTGTGACAGTGATGCTGAATTCAGGACACATGGATATTTACACAGTCTATAAACAATGCTTGGAGGAATGCAGTTCCAAGATTATCTGTGCTATATAATGTCAAGGGTTCTGTTTTCCAGTTATTTACTGATTAACGCGCACATGACATTCTTCGTTGTGACAGCAGAGTCTGTGAGTTGTCATCTCCGTGTAGGTGTGCTACCCGCACACTCTGCCAGCTTGCTTCTGGCCTTGGGTTTTGCTTTGGTTCCTTATGACTGCTATTCCGGACTCAACTACAGTCAGGAGCTTGTGGACCCATCGGCCAGGGCCCTGCTGTGGGAGACAGGATAGCAGGTGGTAGTAGGTGCAGCGCTTTGGATCTGCCTTGGGAACGGTACAGGGCTCTCCCTGGGGTGGGCTCCAGCACCTAGAAATCTGCTGGCCGGATCATCATGGTGGTAGCCTTGAGCGAGTAGCCAGATCCCTTCCAATAGTACCACTTAATCCCATTGAACTTGTTCATGTTCTGCCGTTGTGGATAGTACATTCCGTTCAGGTTGGAAGGGCCGCAGGCATCAAACCACCAGCCTGTGGACGCAGAAAATGAAAGGAGTCAGGAGTGAGGGAGGGCTCATTGCACAGAGCGGCGTTGGGCAAAGCTGGCTGTCATGACCTGACCCCTGCAGCAGGCGGTGCAGGTGGCGTGCCTCGGAATGTGCTGTGTGGGTGGGCGTATGGCTGGCCCTCCATTCAGCCCCACTCGTTCGCACTCCCACTGTGGCATACAGCCTTCTGAGCCGGCTTGCTCATTCCCTGTGCTGCATGGGTCAGCCTGTTGTCCATGGTGTCTGATTGGCAGTGCGATCAGAAGCACACCCAGGGGTCAGCAGAACTCACAAGAGCCCTTGGAGAGCTCAGGCCTGATTACTCTCTAGCCCCTGCAGCACAGCCACTGAGGGATTTGGGCTCTTCCACATCAGAAATCGTTCTGGTTAAAACAGAAGCCAAATGTTTAGTACTCAGTGGGGCTCAATTGAGTGGAACCTGACGGCTATCGTGGTGCAACAGGGGCACCCAGAAAGCAGGTGGCAGGGTCCCCCTTCATCCTTGGCATGGCCCTCGGACGGTAGTATACCAGTGCCAGGGCCTCCAGGAAGACACACCTCTATTTACAGGTGTGAATCTGAAGGAGTCTGCAGCATCTCGTGTGGGGGTCCATTGTACGATATCATTGAGGTTAATGCTCTGATGTTAAAAAACAGTTAACACAAGCATGGTGGATGTCTCAGTAGTTAGAAAACTAAAAGTGAGTGAAACTCAATTCAAGGGCCTAGGAAGTGGTGTTAGGCTGGCTTTTACCACATCTATGAAATTTTATTCCTTACAAATCTCTGGTTCCGAGCTGGGAGTGGCAGTGCACAGCCATCACCTTGTACCTGGGAGAGTGGGCTGGAGGATTTCGAGTTCAAGCCCAGCCTGAGCAGCATGTGTGGCCCTATCTCAAACAAGCAAACACCTGCTGAAAAGATACCCTGGAGTACAGGCGGGGCCCTTGCCCTCTCTCTTGGTGGCAGCCTTGGGTGTAGATGGAGATGGTGAGGCGCAGGGAGCCAGCAGTGTGACTTGGAACCTGAGGTGCGGATCCAGCCTCTGGAGCCTGCTGCCCACAGCAGAACTCACTGCCCCCGACCATCCCACTCTCACTGGCCGAGCCCCAGTGCAGCCTCTCCACTCGCAGACGCTGTTTTCCCCCTCGGGCTGCTTCCCCTCTACCCCCAGCTCCACTCTCAGCCCCTAAATCTTGATCCTGGTAAATAAGTAAGTTGTTTCCTTGGATAGGGATGCACCCACCTAGGCTCTGGAGTTGCACATGGCACACGAGTGGTCTGGGAACTGTAGCCTATCGGACTCGGCCGCGAGTATGGGAATAGAGGACAGGAAAAAGGATTAGGGGTGTCTGTGCCCCCCTCATCGATGACTTTAGAGAGGATTATTGTGATGGGAATGAGGGAGACCAGAAACTTTGTACAAAATCAGTGCAGTAACTTTTCTGCACTCAAAATTATGTAACTAGCAGGAGAAACCCACATCCCCAAGAGGACTGATTTTTTAATAGGATCTAATTCTTGCTGCAGGAAAGACTTGACATTTAAAGTCAGGAAAGCCACTGACTTCCATTTTTTCCCATAAATAAATCCTCCTCTTGATTGTCAATTCCTACGTGAAATGCCAATCTAGTGTCAACTTCAGTGTTCCCCTTGTCCAGTGCAACACCACCTGATCCTTACGAAAGCACCAACCTCAGCGCCAGCCTTTGATTTCCCTGGGTGCCAACAGACCCATTTTTGCTGGTACAGCTTCTGTTTTCCACTCATTAAACCCTGCCGACTCCTGCTGGCATTCGTGGCAGGGCCCCTGGTGCTTCTTCAAATGTTAGTGTTTTCAGAGCCAATTAGACGGCATCTGTCAGCCTTCTTCCTTATCTTGTCATTACTAGCTGGTGCCTGTAACTCCATTCCTAAACTTTAAAATACTGGGAGCACACAGTGTCTAACAGTTACTTCTCTCAGGGAGATTTTAAATGTTCCTGACACTGACCCAGCTTCCAGCATGCAGGCCACTGCAGTCCACTCATGGAGGGAGCACTGTTTGGCTTTTAAACAGTTGGGGTGGAAAACAAGAAAGGCCTTGGTTTAAAGTTGGCAGTAACTCAACTTTACTCTGATACGCTGAAAAACAGGTTGCCAAATTAGTTTCTTTGTGTTTATAAATGTTTGCGATGTGTTAATAAAATACTTATGAACTGAAAATTCCTTGTTTGGACATTAACATATTAATAAGAAATAAAACAAACTGGAACAAAATGCTCTAATGTGCCATCCATTCAGGAGGCACAAACTCGGGAGAATTGCCTGAGTGTTGATTGTCCCCTTCCTGGCTAAGGTTGGGTCCTCAGTGGACACAGTTGGCCTGCTGACAATTCTCACCCCCTGTCACATTTTCACTTCAAACTTACCAGTCTAAAAAAGCAAAAAACAAATTTACCTGTGTCCGGCTGGTTTGTCTCTTTATGAAACTTTGGACATGGTCACCAGTACCAGAGGGAAGTCCCATGGGCTTGCCTTTGGTGCTATAAATTATCCAAGACAAAGAGGAAGACAGAAGTATCATCCCTACCTCCTGTTAGCATTTGTGAACATTTGCAAATACATTTGTCGTTGTCTGCATCCTTTGTGCTAAAATCATTTCCTGGTTGGCTTATGCTGCTTATTTTGCCGGCTGTGCCTGTGAGTCCTTTAAGGTGAATCCTGTAAGCATGCAAAGGAAAAAATAAAAGATGTAATTGGCTTGAGTTGTTGATTTACTGTGGTGGAAAAATTTTCATAGTGAAGAATTCCATTGTACAGAAGCAAGTTCTATGTTGGTCAGTATACCCCAGTACCTACTCTGGACAAAACATTTGCACCGGTATAAACAGGAACCAACTTATCATCAGATCCCTCAGCGAAGAGGGATGTTTTCATGAAAACTTCAGCATATGTCACTTGCACAAATATCAGCAGTCCCTGTAGAAATCTATAACTCATTGTTCTGCTGCCCTCAGATAAACAGAAGAGGGGGTGCCGCAGGGAGCAGCGTCCCCCAGGTCTCTAGTCACTGTCCCCTGGAGAGCACTGCGTGCTGCTGGGGCGATCTCAGAGTCACTGCTTGCAGCAGGGCTGGGTGTGGGGTGAAGAGGACAGCGGACAAGGAATGATCGTTGAAGCTGGGGTCGAAATAGGCACAGCTGTGGAGAATGTGACCCTCTAAGGCTGCTTGGCCCCATTTCTATATGGTGTTCTGATCTCATCAGCTCCGAGAAGGAAAAATGGCTTTTAGGGGGTCAGCACAGCATGTCTCAGTCAGCCACTGGCCCGATGAGGAAAGGCAGAAGAGTGTGTGATTTTTGAAAATGTTTGGCTTTTCTGGGGTTCCCATGTGCAAGTGGTTCAGGCAGATGAGAGCTCATTTTCAGGCGATGGCAGTGGGCGGGGAGCGGGGCATTGGTGGAGATGGAGGCACAAATCGAAAGTGCTGCAGTGCAGCAGAATTGTGCTGTGTGCCCTTAGAATTATGCTTGTCATTGTGAAAGCTGCTGGTGCTCACTGCCTACCTTGGAAGCATGGTGCTTTGGAACTAATATTTGCAAGAATTCCTGTTGGAACAAAGTGCAAGAAAAGAGGAGAAGCTGCTCAGGTCTCAGCACTTAGTGGGTGTGTGTTGAGCCCACGACAGCCTCAGAGCTGGTGGCACCGTGTCTGCCATTTCTAGGTTCAGAGGTCAGAACTATGCCAGTCAGACCTGGTGAGTTGTGGAGCCGGGATTTTCTCCAGGTGTGCTACTTTCTGCTTTGTTTTCACCCTAGCGAGTGCTTCACTGAGACGTTTACTTATGGGGTGGAAAGTGGACAGATGGGCACAGAGCCCCTTGGTGGAGCTCCCTAAGCGTATTCCCAATAACTCCCAGGATAATGGCTCAGACATGGCTTTTTTAAAATACAGCAGCCCTAGATACTTCATACAGCATTGACCGGCCTGCTGAATTTCAGCATTTCCAGCATGTTTGAGAAATGAGCCCAGCCTGCTCTGGTCTCTGAGCTCGCTAGAGTGTTAACTCAGCAAGTTCTCCTCGGGCACCGTTCTGCTCTGCACGGGTCCCTTCTCATGGGTCCAGTCAGGGCCTGCAAGGACCCTTCTTCCTGGCTACTCCTCTGCATGCCTGTCCTGTCTTACTGAACAACAGTTGGTTCCCATGCAGCCCATTAAATTCCCCTAAAGGCAAACAGAATAAGGGAGAATATTATTTTTATTAGAGCCTGTTTGAAAACTGCGATTCTTGATCCTTTGATGATGGCCCACTAAAGTGCTTTCTTTTACAATTTGATTATCAAGGATAGCCTTTCTTTCTGTCTGTTTCATTCTTCCTTTCCTATTCTCATTCTTCTCCTTCCTCTTCTTTATTCCCTACCTTCTCCTCCTTTTCTTGCTATACTTCTCTTTCTTCCTATCTTCCTTTTTTCCTTCTCCTCCTGCTTCCTCCTCCCTTTCCTTCTTCCCTCTTTTTGAGGTATTAGGGATTAACCCAGGAGTTTTACACTGAGCGGCATACCCATCCCACCCCTTCTTTAGCAACTGATCCTTCTTGGCTTTTCCTAAGTTTCATTTAATTTTTTATTATTATTTACTTTGAGACAGGCTTTTCCTAAGTTGCCCAGGCCAGGTCTGACCTTAGTGCTGGGATTGCAGAGATGAGTTCTCACATCCAGCTCACAAGCTACATGCTTTAATTCATTTTGCTTTTGTGTGAATTGATTGTCTTCACAGTGTGGTAAAGAGATAATGTAACATTTATGTAATAAGTTTCATGTTGCTAAGGAAATTAAGTTTTAAACCAGTGTGTTTTTTTCTAAATGGAGTATCCAAAAACATGGCATTCTGAAGGAAACATCCACTAAGAACCAAAGTATTTTTCTAATGTTAGCATATGAGGGTAATGGCCCATTCTGTAAAATCTTCTTATACAAACATCTAATCCTTAATTTTTGTGTTTCTTTTTTTTAGTTGCTCTGTTGTAGATTCCTAACTGTTGCCAGTTGTGAAAATATTTAGCTTGGAGGTGACACAGTGAGAACCACTTGTATCTCGGCATCTAGTGAGGCTCTGGTCTTTTTGAGGTCGAGCGGGGCCTGCTGTCCTATCACACCATGAAGTCTCCTACCTCTCCAGGCACCCTGCTTTTGTTACTGAGTATTGATAGACTGAGCCTCGCCAACTTCTTCAAAGTCACATCAGACTCAGTACAGATGTACTTCTGAACCGGACACAGAGTCTGAGGCAGGGCTGCCAGCCATGGTGTGTGGCCGGGCAGCAGTTTTCGGCCCTGTGACTCCTGCCATGTTCCTGTGCTGTCCTTTGGGACCCTCCTGGAACCCCAAGGCTTTACAGACTCAGAGGGGTGACCACTTCCTTTGGATGCTCCTCTGAACATCACTTGCAGGCTTGGTGCAGGTGTCACACAGTGTGTGCCTGTGGTCTCCCCGGCCTGCTGCTAGGGCTCCTGCGGACAGGGTGGGTGACGGCCACCCACAGGCCCCTACCTTCAGTGCCAGTGGCCCCACTCCCAGCCACACATGCGCCAGCGTGTTGGGCCTCTGTGCTGTCCAGGTGTGGCTCTGCCGCACCTGCCCCTTGCAGTGCAGTCCCATCACTACTTCGGCTCTCTTCATCTGGTATGTTAGAACCAGAAAGGAAATTCCCAGTCCAGGCTGCACATGCTACTGGCATGTTCCAGGTTATTGCCTCCAACCAGGGGCAGGCAAGAAAGTGCAAAGGGGAAGCTGTGGGCCGGATGCACCCTACCCTAGAAAGCAGAGGTCTTGCCCGATTTTGCCATTTTCTCACTTGGCATGTAATCCTGACTTTGGGATTGAACACAATAATTCATGTGTTTAAGCTTCAAACAGTAGCTTAACTGTCAGTATCTTTGGGAAGAAAACAGTAAAGACTCAGATAATTGTGTTACAGTAACGGGAGACACCTCACATTCAGGAAACCTGGCCTATTAAAAGTAGAGAAACCACCGTGCATGCATCGAAAAAATGACTCTTAAGAAACAAGACCCCACCCCAAAAAAGAAAAACGAGACCCTGGTGGATGGTGACTGCAGACCTCAGCGAGGTGTCACACGTCGCAGTCCAGATCACCACCCAACCCCTGCGCAGCAGTCCTCTGCTTACCGGTACTTGAGGTCCTCACTGGCCAGGGAGAAGTGGTCGTACAGCGAATACGCCTCGCTGCCCTCCCAATCCTGCAGCTGGATCCTGAGCACATAGCCCTGCAGGTTCGTCAGACGGGACACCAGTTCGTTCCCCAGCCAGTGCTCCCCTGCAGGGTTCCCGAACCCCTGGAACCAAGTTGGGAAGCTCAGTTACTTCACTGGCTTTTTCTTTATGGATCTGAAACCCACCCTAGGCTCCTCGGTTTACCGTGACTCACTGCTAGTTAGTCAGCAGGAGGCCCCGCTGTGCAGGTTGAGCGGGGGCTTCCACAGAAAACCCATGAGGCCACTGATAAGGACCAGCATCCCTGGGTAAACCTCGTGTTAGGCAGTGTGTAGGCCATGGGTGAAGGAGGGCCTCATACCCCCCAGGGCTTCTCTGGGGACACTGGGGAGGGCCCTCCCAGGAAACAGAGCCGCCTCGTGTCAGCTCTGTGCCCATAGCTCAGAAGATCTTCAAAGATAGTGTTCACCAAGGATGGTATTTGTTTGGAGGAAGCATGCGGAATGCCCATACCACTTTATATTCCTTCCAGGTCCTCTGAAAGTCAACACTGCCATTCTCGCGGCGCTGAATCACTGTCCAGCCACCTCCGCCTGTCTCCATATCACAGTAGGCCTGCCAGAGGAAGCACCAGTTACCATGGGGACAGCAGTGTCAGGAGGGGTAAAAACAGGTCAACACACACCACGCTATGTGTGCCCTGGGGCCTCCAGGACCCAGCCCTGAGTAGTGTGCTTTACTCCCAGACCACTGCAGTAAAGTTAGAAACATTTAACATGAGTCCCTCTCTTGTCACCATCTGGCTGAAGACCCCAGGGACTCACGAATAGGACCTCACGGGCCAGACCATTGCCCCAGTCCTCCATATCTGCAGCTGCAGAAACCACTGAGCTGCGCACAGCCTCAAAACCTTCTCCCCTCTTAGGGTTTAGACTTTGATTTAAGAAAAAAAGAAAAACCTTCTCCCCGCCTGCCAGTTCCTGGTGGCGTTGCAGGCAGCTGTAGGAAGCGGGTTCTGGGGTTACAGCACTCCCTGAACTCCTGCTACCTTTTCATGCTGTGAATCTTCAGGGTTTCCTCTATGTGCAGCAAACACCAGGTCCCTGTTAGTTCCTGAGCCTGGGCCGGACTCATGTGTCAGTGCTCTGCGACCCCAGCGTGGCCAGGCAGCTTTACTCTGGATCATGAGTTTAGATTTCTCTGTATTTGCTCACCCCCTATGGGATTTTTCTTCCCAGCTTTTTATTTCTGCTTTTAAACTGGCTCCATAGGCTTGAAGTTTGTCCAGGATACAGAATTCTTCAGCAAAGAGCACGCATGCATGCTCAATTTCAACTCACCTGGAGCTTTATTATGAAATTAAAAACCCCTGGAAATAAGATTACATAAATAGTTTTCAATCATGATATTATAATAGGACAAAAATTGTTTTCCAGAAAGTAAGATAATTTCCTTATACCATATGAGGTAAGAAACACTAAAGTTATGGTTCACGTCCAATTCTAAATATTCTTTCTTTGTTGTTTTCCATGATCTTTCAGAGAGTAGGGGAGATGGTTTTGGCAGAGTATATGCTTCAATATAAACAGTCCTGTGTGTGTGAGTTAGGATCCAAGGGATGAGGTCTGAGAGCACCAGAATAGCACCTGGCCCTGTCCTTTCATCTCACACACAAGGACATATGCCCAGGGGGACGTGCAGACTCTGTGGAGAATGGTCCCCAGCACTCCATCTGCAGGGGCCTGACCAGCGCTGTCCCCATCTCCCCTGTGAAGCTCACAGGCTCATACTGCCCTCCCCGGTGACCCTGTTTAGAAAAATAGGTGCCAAGAGAGGAAAATGCATTCATGAATAAAAATTATTTTCCCACTTTAAATTAGTCAGATCTACTGAAGGAAACACCTTTACTATCACCCTGTGAACCATAACTTTAGTGTGATTTTTATGAATTATCACAGTTGTCTTTGGGACTGGCCAGTTTTCCCAGGCCAACTCTGAATCTGTGAAAGGAGGGAAGTTTTACTTAAAGTTGATAAATTTTATCACAGTTATTCAACTATTAAATGGTGTACAGAATTTGAATAATTCCCATGCCATATTTTTTCCACTACATCATGCTGCCAAGACCAGAACCTTGGCCTTTTTGTTAATAGGCCAAAATCCTTGAACACAGCTCCAACTTGAAATCAGTTCATGGTTAGGGCTGCTGCTTGTTTGCCTGTAGTCAACAAAACAGTCTGCTGCTTGATTCTATCAGTGTGACTTTTCAAAAAGATGCTTATGAACTGGTCCAATAACGTACCCTGGTCTGCGGATCCCTGAGTACACAGATGTCAGTTCTCAGTACCCCAGATGGCAGACCGTTGGAAGAAGTGACACAGTTCTTAGGCGCCTGTCCCTGTCCTAAGAATGTGTGGTTAATGTCAGAAACTCTGCAACAAGGTTAATGAAGACCTGCTCTCTCTTGTCCGGAGGTCAAGCCTGACTCATTAAGGGAGTCAGGGGAGACTCTGGGATGCTGAGAGTCCCAGCCAGGGTGCAGTTGACTCAAGCCTGTCCCTGCTCCACCGACTCCATTAGCTACCATGATAAGGTTATTAGCATGTTTCTTCATACTGCATCTGGATTTTTTTAATGAACAGAGGATCTATAAAACTAAAGAATTATGGTTACTGAGTCATAAAACTTGAGAGGATGTCCAAATAGAATCGCCCATATAGCCAAGAGATGTTCAGTGAAAAGGACAAAATACTTGGTAGAAGGAGAAATACTGAGAGGCGGAAATACTGCGGGAACGCCAGGAGCCCAGCACTTGGTTCCAGCAACCTGGAGGCAGTTCTTTCTTCCAGCTGGTCATGGACTGGGGACCTGGTTATCTTGCTAGAAAGCCTGCGGCTGCTGAGCAAGCAAAGCTTGATAAAGTGTAACTCGGTTTGCTGAACAACTGGCCAGACAGCAAGCACATAAATACCAGGAGTCAGGTAGGTATTCTGGGAGATTAGGCAAGGAAGCTATGATGCGTCTCACTAGCGGAAACAGCCACTTCTGAGAACGTCCTATTGCAGTATCTGTCTTGTACAAAAGGGTAATGAATTTTTCAAAAGTAAAGTTGCAGTTCAAAACTATTGAGCACTATTTTCTTGAATTAGATAACCCAGGGCAAAATCGAGTAAGCCGCTATGCTGGGAAATTGTCTTGTGGTCTTTGGGAAAAGTGCTGTTTTTTACTCTCCCCATATGTACCATTTCCATAGCTGGAGGTGTCATCCTTGTGTGACAGATGAGGACTGAGAATGCAGAGGGGATGAGGGGACGGTGAGCCGCAGGAGGGTGGAGCTGGAATGCGAATCACAGCATCTTACAGTGGAAGGGGACTGAGAGGTAACTTAATCTCAGTCATTTATGGTGAAAAAGAGAAAACTGAGGCTTTGAATGGGCATCCTTCCATGCTCTGCAGTGAACTATTTTAAACATTTAAAAGGAGTAGAAACCCTGATGTTTCCAGCCGTACTCTGAGCCTCATGTCGCCGACTCCTAGGCCCTGTCATATTTCTGCAGATTGCTTCAGTCAGCGTGTACAGGAAGGGTGGCATGGGAATGTCTCCACAGCAGTGTCACTGGGTTGCAATGCCAGTGTTGTCCCCATTATCACTGGGCCAAGGGCATGCAACATCTAATGCGAGACAGCAGCGTGCAGAGCACCATCCAGGCAGACAGATCATGGAGGTGAAGGTAGCCTGGAACCAGGCAGTGGTTGCTTTTTCTTATGCAGCAACCCGCCCGGCCCCCCATTCCCCAGCTTCTGAGCCCCTTGGGACATTAACTGATTTTCAAGGTTGATTCCAGCAGCATGAATGAATTAGAAAGATTTCTTTGGAAAGTATTATCTCAAATAGCACTGCATTTATCTTTTAATCCACAATCAAAGTATACATTACCATTTCAAATTCCACATCTTTAACTCCTAAATGGTTGTGTTTTTCTTCATTACAATGTTCAAGACCAAGTTCAAAAGGATACTGCCTCCAGGAGCCTCTAAGGTTTCTATCTTGGCACAGTACTCGGTGTGCTTTCTGGACTTGTTTGTGTCAGTCTAATGTGTAACTGCTTTTACTTCACACACAGCCCTCCCTGCGGGCAAGGAAGTGCATGTGTACGGCCACCCTGTGTCTACCACCAGGTCACAGATGGCCCTGCAGCATCAGTTGACCTCCTCAGACCTCTCAGGATATGATTCTTTGTGGCTCTCCGAAGCTCGGGGTGAGGTGGGGGGGGGGGGGTCCCACAGCTGAGCCAGGTGGAGGCAGCTCACTCAGCAGTGCAGAGAGGCCACTGGGGCTGAGCATGGCCTGTGGAGCACACTGTCTCACTCTCCGCAGCAGCCAGGAGGAGCTGCTGGAGCAGGCAATATGTTTTAAGTCCTCCAGACTGCATCAGAGGGAGTGCTGACCTGCATAGGGGCTCTCCTAGGGTGGGCTGCACACCCTAAGGCATCCCTGGGACTCAGAACATTGTAATGAAGAGCCCACAGGCTCTCAAAGAGGAAGCAACCTCCACAATGACACTAGAGTGTCATTGGCTTGCAGCATTGTCAGCAGGTGTAGCCAGCAGAGCAGACCACGGGCACCCTGGTGGGATACAGGGCAGAGGGGCAAACCCTGCTAGAGTCCCTCCACTTTGAACAGAGCAGAGCCAGGCTCAGCTAAAAAGGTCTCTGACGAAGCAGTGAATCCCATTTGGTAGGCATCCATTGTTTGTTTAGCTGGCTTCACTAGTTTGCCTGGCTAGTCCTCAGATTCTCCTGCTGTGGCAAACCGTGTTAGTTTTGTTGCACTTTCAGCCCTGAAGGGCTGTTTCTAAGATTGTCTCACTCATCGGGATGCATGTGTGATTACTTCTACATGCCACAGTGCTATGGTTGTCTCACAGTTGCACTCATTTGATGGTTTTAGGTGGGAACAAAATGAGCCTTCTTTTTTCCTTCATGAATTACAGCCGTTACATCCACGACTGATCAGAAGACAAACTGCCACAATGCACACTTCAGTTTGGGGAAAGAGAATTGACTTTAAAATTAGTAAAGTGAGTCAGGCACTTCAAGAGAAACACGTGTGTAGTGTTCAGAGAAGTTCTGGTGGAAACAAAGACATTTCCCCACCACAAAACACTGGCTGTGTCCACAGGCAGCTACAACTGAACCCCGAGCCCTGGGGCAGAACTGAGTACTCAGGCTTTCCTGGACCTAGGGTGACCTGCCTGGAGCCAGGGCGTCCTGCAGAGCCCGAGGCTTACCTTTATCTCCTCTGTGGAGTTTGGGGCTGTTAGGGTGTAGACACCACTGGTGGTGTGCCCGGCTTTGAAAACCGCTGCACAGTCTCTGAAAATGATCTGTTCTTCCTCAGCAGTAACAGGATTCTTAGCTGTGTTTAAAAAATAGTAAAGCATTTCAGTGGATTCATGGAAAGAGCAAAGTTTATTCAAGACTCAGTCATTTGGTAAGTTTAATAAATTTGAATTCTTATTATAAGCAAAAGGATATGCCAGTAGTTTCTTCTCTCCTAAAAGGTTATATTTTCAGTTTTCCTGTATTAATTGATTCTTAAAAATAATCTGTGCTTTTTATCGCCAGTTTTGTGTAATTTCAGTACTTCACAAGCAAGTGAAATATAAGCTATTGCTTTGTAAATTTCCCATTATTTGCTAGAATAATCACTAGAGCCTACTGTGGAAGATTAAACGGGGAGCATGCCTAAAAACAGTGGGACTCCCTTTGCCTCCACAGAGTATCCATAAGCTTTTGCCCCTCAAGTCGTAGAGTCCATTTTCTCCTTTCTTTTTACATATCTGAGGCTAAGGCTTTAATGTGTTTAGAATATTGGATGGACCCATCTCGTATTCTTTGGAGTTTTAGCCTGTAACAGTTTGTACTTTAGAAGAGCATTGTGTGTATTCACCTGTGTGTTTTAAATTCCTCTGAGACCTTTAGGGCTACGAAATCCCTTCATACTGCTTTAATACCGCTGTTGACACTTGGGTTTCCTCTTCCTTTTTGCTGCATTAGTAATATGTGTGTGTCTGCCATGGGTCCTTGCATCTCTGCTTTCTGGGGAGCCCTGCAGAGCCGCAGTCAAGGAGGAGCGGGCGTCACCAGCAGGTGCGTCACCTCTCACTGTGCTGGGGCATGGGAAGAGGAAACCTACCCTGCCTCACCTTTTCACCTGCTCCTCCTTTCCTGCCAGTTGGGGAGCTGCAGGGTTTTCTCTACCCCAGCTCACCAGTGTGGTGGCTCACACTGTCTTGGGCCCAGCAGTCTCAGATATTACCTTTCCTGTCTCTGTGAGTGTGAGAAGACAGAGGCCTTTTCTACACCACACAAGAGTGAAGCTCCCACTGAAAAGCTCCCAAGCACACGGTACCCGAGCTGCATCGCAAGGCATCAGGACCATGTAACTGTGCATATGCTGTGGCGGACTTTCTGTTAAAGTGGAGGCGACTGCACAACCCAAGGAGAATGTTTTTATGGAAGTGAAAACCGGAGTATTCACATGAGAGTCCTGTGACTCCCAGGCGCTGTGCCAAAGGAGGTCGAGTTAAAAGGAGCTTACAAAATAGACTGTAGAAGTAGGCTACACTTGCTCAGGAGAAAAACCAGAAGCACCTTAGTTAGTGACTACCCTTTCTCCCTTCCCTCCAGTATCTGAGAGAGGCCGGAAGGTCAAGCCGTAATGAAAAGGTGGAACAATACATACGTAAGGACTTGTGACAGGAGGAAACTACTGCCCCTGTGCACCCATCACGATGGTGTTTCTTCCTGTAGTCCCCACAGGCATCCTACATGCCGGGGGTACTTTTGCAACCCTGTGAAGGCTGAGCAATTCGTTAGCCTCCTGCATGCCCTGGACGATGGAGTAACACATGGGAGGCAAAGTGCATTCAGCAGCTCTGCCTCCAGTGCATGACTGACATATCTGATACCTGTATCTTCCTCCTTCACTCCTCCTTCCCACTCAGTTCTAGTTTAGTCCCTATAGAGCTTTCATAAGGAATACAAGAGAAGTAGTGCCTTTTCTGAAAGGTGAGAGAATTTGTTACAATGGACAGTTCATTGACAAAAACATGAACTTCACTTACCATTCGGTGCTATCATTGTCATTAAGTTATGGACAGTCTCCATCAGGTCCATTTGCTGCTTCTGCAGGGCCGAGGTGTTCACGGTAGCTGTGACTAATTGCTTCTGCAGCTCCTTGATAATGGAGTTCTGCTTGGACACGAGCACCTGGAGCTCTGCCTTCTCTTCCTTCATGGACTGCAGCTGCACTGAGTGCTTGTCCTCCATGTCCAGCACTTTCTGCTCCAGGACACTTGGAGGGAAATGCTCATCGGTTAGTGGAGGGAGTGCTAAAACCCTACGGCCAGCAGAGCCAAGCACCCATCAACATGCAGTCACTGTCACCATTGTGATGCAGCTGTCTGAGTGCACTGCATTTCTGTTCTGCCAAGACACTCTGCTGAAATATGGTAGGGAGTATAAGGGCGCAGTCCTAAAGAGCCTCTCACACTTGCCATGTTAGATAGATATACATGATTGGGTAGGTGGATGGAAGGAAGGATGGACAGACAGGCAGACAGACAAACTGACAGGTACAGAGAGACAGACAGACAGACAATATCCTGGGCCATAATAGGGGAATGTGACTATGTCAAGATTCAGTGCTAGAAGAATTCAGAAGAAAGTCCTGTTATTTCAAATTGCAGTGCTCAGGACATGCTTTGAGAAGGAGTTTCATTTGGGCCCTAACTGCTGATCTTTTAATACTGTGTGGCAAATAGTCCAGAAAGGAGCTAAATACTTAGCACATGTTCAAATCCTGACCTGCCGCTCCTGCGACTCTCGACTGAGTCATTTACAGTATCTAATCTTTCCTGCATCAGTTTCCTCCTCTCACTGTGCTGGGGCATGGGAAGAGGAAACCTACCCTGCCTCACCTTTTCACCTGCTCCTCCTTTCCTGCCAGTTGGGGAGCTGCAGGGTTTTCTCTACCCCAGCTCACCAGTGTGGTGGCTCACACTGTCTTGGGCCCAGCAGTCTCAGATATTTACCTTTCCTGTCTCTGTGAGTGTGAGAAGACAGAGGCCTTTTCTACACCACACAAGAGTGAAGCTCCACTGGAGAAAACTTCCTTCAGAGGCTGCCAGGGCCACAGAACAAAGAGGAAAGGACAGTGTTGGGCTGAGGACCTTCGCTCCAGGTACAGCTATTTGTCACCTGGCATTCCCTCTAGATAGACCTGCTTTTGGAAATGGTTAGATGACCTAGATAGACCTTCAAGATAGACCTGCTTTCGGAAATGGTTAGATGATAAGCCAGTTACTGGCTCCTGTCCCTGAGACCCCCACCCAGCATAATGTTCAGTGGAGATGATCTGCTCATCACAGTTCAGGGTTAAAGGAAGGTATCTGTAGAATCGCTCTTAAATCATGGCATATATTGATGCTGACATCTCTGTTTCAGGGTTATTTTGAGGCCGTTAACAGTTGACATGGCCTCTGTGACTGTCACCCTAGGAGTTGGTGAGATGTTGCTCGTGAGCTATTAGAACTTTTGGGGACTCCCCACAAAGAGAGAATCCCTGTTTTCTCTGTTGTTTGGTGAAGACAGCTTGACCCCATGTCTGAGCCTGTTGTGAGTTGTTGAAAGATTCTTGACTTCTTTTGCACCCCAAAGGGAGTGGAAGCACGTGAAATCAGCACCCAGGTTTCACCAGCGGCCAAGCCCATGCATCACTCAGTCTGGGCTTCAGCCCACTCCATTCATTACATAATCTCTTCACAGAAATGGACTGAACCTCTGTGTGCGAGGTGCTTTGGAGAGTCTCAGACTGTCTCAGTGAGCTTCCCTCTGCCAAGTTACAGCATGCAGTGAGCTCTGTCTCCACTGGAGAAAAATTCCTTCAGAGGCTGCCAGGGCCACAGAACAAAGAGGAAGGGACAGTGTTGGGCTGAGGACCTTCGCTCCAGGTACAGCTGTGTGTCACCTGGCATTCCCTCTAGATGTCAGGCACAGCTGTGTCACATAGGCAGCTCTCCCCAGATACATCTCTACCAAAATCGAGGGTTTTAGATTTGATGGTCTGTGGGGTCCCTCCAGTTCAGCTATTCCATGCATCCATTGTATCATTTTTGGGGAAATAATAGCTTCTCAACCTTTAACCGTGCGGACAACCCAACCAACTAAAAGACTTAGACTATAAGCAATGATAAGTGATAATAGATAAGTAATGAGAACCATAAGGAATAACAATTTGTCCATAACCAGTGCGAATTATCCCTACTGGAAGCTACAGCTCTGAAATTTCTTCCAGCCCTCTGGTCCTTATAAATCACTGTGATGACAAGTGTGAGAGCAGAATGCTGAGTCAGTAACCATGGCTGTCCTGTAGTTATTTTCACTAGACATCATCAGTTTTTCCATACCCGTTTTCACCGATTGTTTCTTAGTACTTTTCTTGATATTAGCTTATTTTTAAAGAAAATGGTATAACTCTCATTAATTTATAAACCAAGATGATTTACCATAAGAAGCAGGTAATCAAAAAGTAAGTGTAAGTTTCTTCCTGCTCTCTACATAAATCAGCCTCCGTGCTTTGGGAAGCACTGCAGCAGCCCTGACCTAGAGAAGCACGCAGTATGTACAGTGCACCTGGAAGGGGTGTTCCACAGCTACAATCCAGCCCTCTGTGCTGTTTTTAATCATCTGAGAGACAGCATCAAAGACATGTGGCAGCCACACAGGGCAGGGTTGGCGCTCAGCATCGTGGGGACTGAGAAATGACTGCTTTGGTGCCGTGCTTCTGAGCGCTCACCAGCTCGGCTCAAAAGGCCGTCATAGACCACTGCACTGGAGCTTGTTTTAGCATGTAAGGGTGAGGCCAGGGCCAGATCAGCCCAGCCTGGACTTACTAATTAAGTAACGGACAGATCACTGCGTGTTACAGCTATCAGGGCGCCTGTTATAGAGCAGCACTGTAAAAAATGCACATCAAGACCTGTTAGTGGTGTATAAAATGAGATTAATGAGTTGCAGCTAGCATTTTCCTCTGGGGTGGTAGAAAAGCAGTGAAAATACAGTAAATTCATGGCAGGTGCTTTGCATGTGGCGACAGACCCTGAGGCCAGTGCTGATAAATGCTGAAGGGAGACATGGGTGGAAGCAAGGAGCTGGCCATGATGTTGCATCTCACTCGAGGGTGCTCAACTAGCTTGTCGCCATAAAGCTGATTTCAGTATAGCTTCATTTTACATCAGCATAAGTTGGAGTGAGCTGGGAACTGCGGGGAAGGATCCCTTTGGCAGAAACATCATGAATCTGAATCACATTTGTTATGCTTCAAATGTGGTTTGTGTCCAGCAAAGGCTCATGTGTTGGAAGCAGCTCCTGCGTGGCAACGTAGGAGGGAGTGGAACCTTTAAGAAGCAGGCCCCAGGGGAGCCTCAGTTTGGGGGAGCCTTCATGGGACACCCAAACTCTCACCAGAGTGGTTGCTAACAAGCCAGCCCACTCCTGATCCCTGGCTGGCACTGCCTGTTGGGGATGTGACCTCTTCCTGCTGTTCTGGGGCTGTTTGCAAATAAGCCCTTGGCTGAGGCAGAACCCGCAGAGCTGCCTCCTCTCCACCTTTTAGCTTCCAAAACTGTGAGCTTAGTAAACTCCTGTACTTTAGAGGGTGAGTCTGGTTTAGGGATTTCATCATAGTCAGCACGCACACATACACACAGTGGATGTTGTTTTTTAAATGAGTGTCCCTGCATAAAGAGATGGTGGCTGCAGCAATGTGTTTCCAAGCCAGAGCAGTTTGACTGAGCTGTACACATAACCTTAAATCAGTCTAGTTTTTTGAACAAAAGAGTAACAAGGTAAAAATGCATAGTTTTCTATGTCAGTTTCAGCTGGTGCATCTGCAAGAGTAGTAATGGTAACTTGGAAAGAATGTTGCCACTGGTAAATACCACTTCATTCAAACCCATTCTCTGCAGACTGCAGTTTTACTTTTGGGGAATGACTGAATTAGGGTTCCTCAATGTGGAGCCCCATGTGCCTGGTTTTACAATGATGTTCTTGTGCAATGTCTTACACCAGTGAAATTTAACATAGAAAACACTCATTGAAAAGATGCAAAATCATCCATAAAATTTCATATTTACTTTTATAGTTATGTCAGTATTTCCAACAAAAAGGAAGAATCTGGTTTCCAGGGCTCTTCAGAGCTTGACCCTGCTTTCTGTGTAGCTTTTACTACATGGGTTCAGGGGCGAGTTGGTGGGTAGCAGGGGTACCTTTTTGCTGCTGTCCTCAGGGCGTTTAGTCCCACTCGGCACTTGAGTTTGTGGTCCAGCTGGGGACCAGTTGCAAGTCACAAGCAATTTTAGTTTTGTTCGACATGCTTGACAGGGTGCTTTTCATAGGAAAAGTACTGTAACATTTGAATTTAACTCATATAAAACTAGTTAGACTTATTAGAAGCACAAGCTGATCCAGGCAAATTAAACCAGGGAGGGAAGTGAGAAAAAGCAAGAAAAATCAGAAAACATAGCAAGCTACTGTGGGACTGAAATCATTCTCTCTATTGTAAAAGCTTGATATAAAAGAAATTTCAGCAAATCAATAGATGTGCATACAATGTACTGAGAGTTTTTGGTTGTATTTCAGAGTTACTTACTGAGGAGCTGACTTTATTTAACACACAATCATGCTTGTTCTGAGCATTGAGCTAAAGAATAAGAAAATATTTTTGGGGAAATGGATTTGTACTGAACATGTACAGACTTTTATTTTCTTTCCATTATTCCCTGAACAAGGCAATATACCAACCACTTGCATAGCATTTATGTCAGGTATTACAAATAATCTCAACACAACTTAAAATGCTCAAGGGCTGGTATGTAGGTTGTGTGTAAACATGATGCATTTGTTTGTTTGTTTGTTTATAAAGGACTTGACACCCATAGCTGTTGTATCCAGGGAATCCCAGGACCAGTTTCCTGGGCAGCATTACTGTTAAGCAAGCAAAACTCAGAACCAGCTCGATATATCCCTAACGTTACTGCAGTGCGAAATTAGCAAGATTATTAATTTCAGTTACTGATCTCAAGCCTTCATTTCTTTCTGTGTGGAAGAGAAATTTGAAACACAAAAGAAAAATATTTGAAAAAGAAAAATGTCTTTGATTTTCAAAACACTAAGTCAATAACGATTTCAGTTTGGTACCCAGAGAACAGAATTAATTACTATATTATACTTTACTGTTAGAACAGTAAAGAATGATTATGAGGTAATGCTTATCATTGTTTCTGATTAAGCTAAACTATTTACATTGTGAAATGGAAGGATGTGGTATTGTGCTATTCTCCAAATATGTGTCTTGAATAAAAACAAGTAAATGAGCACCCTACTGTATATGCATGAATAACCCTCATGTCTGTCCCTAGCCACAGTAAGCTTATGAAAACAGTCCTTACCTAGCACCTGAAATTGTTTTTGTGTTGTTAACCTCGAGTTCTTTTCCTATATATTATCTGAATATAGGATTGTATATCATACTTAACATTAACTACTTTACTTTATCTACTTTAAGAGGAAGTATTGTATCGTGAAATGAATCCTGACTTATAAGGATGGTTTTCCTACTGCAGACCATGTTGTGTTGAAAAACCTAAGTCCCTAAAGGCAGAGAGGCTTGATAAAGTCAGTATTCAGATGTCCAGGCCAGTGTCACTTGCTTCACTGAACTAGCGCTACATTTTATAGATTCACATGCGTGAGACTGAGGCAGGTGGAGGATTGCTGTATGACCATCTATAAGGGACTAAAGAATGAAAAACAGCATCGAGGACTGTCTTGGACTTCTTTGTTGAGGACTTTTCTATACGTGCTCTCCCTCCACCTTTCCTCCAAGGTTTCTGACATATATGCTGTGCACCAAACATTCATTATCTGGAAACCATGCTTGTAACCAAGTCCCATGAGGTGGGCTTTTATCTCTGGAAGGCGTACAGCTTTGAATTACAAAGATTTTTATACTGTAATTACCTGTTCTTATCTTGTAACTTGCTTATTTCACTGGTCTGATCCAAAATCTGTTTTTCTAGCTTGTTTGTAGAAAGGGAATGCTCTAGAAGCTGAAGTTCAAGTCTTGTTGTTTGATTTAATACCTACATGGAACGAAGTAAAATTCCAGGTTATCATTTTAATACATTTAACTTCATAGCTCCCTGTTAATTCAGTTGCCCACATTATTGGAAAATATGACACATTATTTATTAACTCAAGTGGCCTGTTTTGGCATGGTTTTTATTTTCAGAAAAGGCTTAGAATCGTTGATAACACTCAAGCACGTTAAACTTTTTTTCACCCTGTTTTTATTTTAGAAAGTGGTTCATAGTTTCATGGTTCTGGAAGATGGTTTGTGTGAAGTAATATAATATTTTTCTCTAGTTCTGCCATATTTTATCATTTCACCCACTGAGACAAGTGGAAGTATAAAATAGTTCTATCTCATAGATCAAAAACTGTTGATATATTAAAAAATATTTTCCCGTCTGCTCAGACGAAATGCTGGTTCTCGTATTTTGCTTCTTGGTCAGTAAACTAAAGACAAGAAGTTATTTGCCTCCCTTACACAAAAATACAGCTCCTTTTTAGTCTGGCATTTCCCACTCTATAACCACATGCTTAGCCTTTGATGTATTTTTTCTTTGTCATTTTTCTTTTTCCCATTTTAAAAGTCTTTTCAACCACTTAGGAAACAATAAAATGTCGATATGAAGTAGAAACACAGCGTGCTGTGTGGGCCTTTCTGGTGTGACGTGCAGTGTTGCTTTCCACATTGTCTTCACACAGCTCTGGAGAGAGGGTCTTCAGCATTTGGCTGGCTTTTCATAGGAAGAATTGATTACTCACTTCCTCCAGTCATGCTTATTTAGGATGTGATATCACATGTGCATGGAAGTCAGAATTGTTACCAGAGATCAGGGTCCTTGCAAGAGTCATTGTTTGCTGTGTGTCACTGTCGGCATGACCCTGGCCTGGCCCAAGATGTGGGTCTCATGCATGTGTGGTCCCAAGTCCCTGCTGGTGGAGTTCTCGTCCACCAGTTCCTCTGTGCATGAGGAAAAGCCATGGCCATCGCTGGGGTTAGCACTAGAGCACTGAATGCAAATATTCTGGGTCAGTTATTTCTCAAAGGGATTGGAAAATCAGATTCCTATGTAAGTCTTAAGATTTAGGAGAAACAGAGGCAGGCAGTGGACAGATCCTGTGTGACCCAGAACTGCAGAGTTTTTAGGTCACCTTCTGAAAAGTCACCCAGCTGAGCTGGTCTGCCAGTGACTAAGTTATGCAGGTTCTGTGATTCTTCCCTGAATTTCCTTCAGCCTCCAGCTGCATGGCGGTGCCCAATGTAACTCTCACTCTGACAGGCTGAAGAACTGTGCATCTAATCGAAATCTCCACATTTAACCTGAAACCTGTTTCTCGCAGCTTGTACCTGGTGATGGATGGCTCCCAGTGGCTTGGGCACACAAAGCAGCCACTCTTCCTCATTAGCATATGTCTGCGATCATTGCAGTACATACACACTGCCTGGAGACCCTCTTACTTACTTCTCACCGCCCACCCGCCTCCCTGTTCCCCTCCCCAAGCCCTCCCTATCCCCACCGAGCCTGTTTCTGTTGTCCGTTCATTCCTCAGTCTCATGATGTCCTTTGTTACTCAGCCTGTCATCTCCATCCGTTTTCCTATTTTCCTGTTAGGGTTGTTGATGTCTAATTTCACAATAGGCTTTTTTTTTTTAAATCATATGACCCAACAAAACACACAAGGTGGGATAAAGGCTTCCATGGTTGTTCTGTGGCATAATGCTTTTTTTATTACTATTACATAAAAGCATAACACATGTTGATATTTATGGGGCACTTTTGAATGAGTGTGACTGCCAGCCAGTTTTCCCGTCCAGGTGTAGGGAATGCCACTTAGCCATTGCTAGTTTATTTTACTAATTGACTCTGGATACATGGATAGACTTTATTTTAAATTGTCTTTTCATTTTTAGTTTTTATTACCAAATAAGAGAAGTCTAAATGCCTTTTGATCCACTAATAAAATATTTGTTTACTAATACATTACACTTGATGCTCTGCTGCTTCTGATGCATTCCTTATAGTTCAAAGGAGGATGGTGCTGCCCTGAGCCCACAGAGGAGCCTCGGTTGGAGTTGGAAAGGGACGGCCTGAGGGCCAGTTCATTTGTCCTCCCCCGGGCTGTTCTCACACAGTCACAAACTGCGTTTTGTTCAGCTTAACTCTGGACGCTTTGTTTTTTTGTTTTTTTTTTTTTTTTTTTTTTTTTTTTTTACTATTTTGGTTCGTTAATGTTTTGGTGCTATCTGTATTTTTCATTATTTCATTTTCTTTTATCTGCTGTTGTTAACCAGCTGTCATGAAATCTTAAAGCAGAAGGAGAACTCGGCCCTCAGTGCTCTGGACCAGCGCTCTGTCATCCTGAACACCAGAGTCGGGCAGCGGCAGGGCAAGGCTCAAACCACACACAAGTTCGGGGGCAGAATTGTGCTGTACTGCAAAACATGGGCCATGGGCTCCTGGTCTCAGGGTGTGCCCAGCCCGCGGCTGCCCACTGGTGCATTTGTTATTATTGGAGACTCAGGGTTTACCTGAATTCCATACTCAGACTCAGAATGAAGTTTCGAGCTCTCTGCCTCAGTGATTTCTGTTTCCTAAGTGCACAAAAAGTGGAGGCTTGGCAGTGGTTCCAGGAAAGAGCTGTGGGGAGGAGGCTTTGGCCACATAGTGGTGACCGGAGCTCCTCAGTGGAGGAAAGGCAGCTCGCTTGGCCTTTGTGGGGAAGCCACCTTCACCAGTGGCCTCCTTCATCAACAGAGTCTTGAACTCTTAAAGATCCCCTTTCTCCCATGCTTAGTGTCCCTTATCCTGCCAAATGGCCCAACCGCCCGTGTTTGTGGCTGCTCACCTGGGCTTCCACATCCGTCAGCTTCCGCGTCTGCTCTGCTGTCTGGTTCAGTAGGCTTGTCCCGATCTCGAGCATCGCAGCCGTCTGGTTCTGCACGGCGTTCTGCTGCAGCTCTGCCATCTGCTTCTTCATGTTGTCCTGGACGTAGCTCTCAAGCTGGGGAGCGGGTGTGGGAGAGGGTTAGTCTGCAGTGGGGACCTGACTCCTAAGCATTGGCCGTCTTGTCCTTCTTTCAGAAACTCTACTTGAAAACTTGTGTCTTGCCATAGATTTGAAATCTTTCCATTTCTTACAGCAGCAGTAAAATTCAGTGCTATTTGTGCCCCAAATCTGGCAACCTAGGAACTTTGTGTGTGGGAGAGACAAGTCCCATGTGGTCTCCGTGTCTCTAGAAGTGATACCAGAGAGGGTCACATCCTGCCACTGGGAAGGACACCTGGTGTGCCACAGGACTCTCGGTGCCTTTGCCCAGGAGGTGGACACTGGGGGTCTGTAGGCTCTAAGGTGCATGAGGGAAGCAGCGAGCTCGGAACCTTCCCCTGGCTCCGGGTTCACAGGACCAGCTAATCTTTCTAAGGACTGTGGAGTCAGTGTGTTGTAGATCTGACCACCCAGACCTGCGTGGGCCCGCTCCTCGCCTAATGCGGGCCCTCTTCCCCTCGGTTCCTGGGGAAGGAAGATGCAGCCACTGCTGTGACGCAGCTGTGATTTGCCCCCATGGTCATGGGGACCCCCGTCTGTGGGTATTGATAGGAGCACCCCACCCATTAGGAGGGGTGCTAATGGGGTGGTTGTTTCTTGTTTAGGGTTCAGGGCTCCTCAGCTGTGCAGCTGATAGGGTTTGAGGACCAGGCCCAGAACTGTAACTCTGCCCGTGCCACCACCTGTTGGCTCTGACTCCCCACTACTGTCCCTCCCCCACTCCGCTGGCCACTCCTGGCAACTGTTGTCCTGTGGTTATGGGGTAGACCAAGTCAGGAGGAAGTGTGGCGGTTACTAGAGTTCTGACCATTCGTGAAAGTATGCGATTGAAGCATTTACTACTCCACGTCAATCGAAATAGATTAGACCCTACAAAAACTCAAGTACTGTTATTTTACAGTCTCAACAACCACCTCTTCTTGTACAGACCTCTTAAAACTTGAAGAATCCCATACCCTATCACTTTTTATCAGAACCAGAAAAGGATTTTTAGGATCTGCGATCTTCCTTAATGCATTCGTCCCTTCTTTCTTCTGCTTCATCTATTTTATGATTGAAATCCCTCTTTCAAAGAATTCATAGGCAGCAGTTTGTAACCACTGCATCCCAGCACCATGGGAGCAGTGGGATTTTTGAGGTTAAAGTTGGAGCTATGTCATCCAAAGTAATTGTCTTAGTTACTTAGTTACTCTTAACACCCAGCAAAGATAATATTTAGAAAGATTTATTCTGGGAAGATTGAAACTACAAAGGTCTGTTTAAGTTGTATTTAGTTTAAATTCATACTCAGAAATAATAATTTACAAAGTATTATAAATAAAAATTGTAATCTTCATCTTGATTTTAGTACTTAACAGTTAAATAGAAGTGATTCTGTTACTTGTCATTCTGAATCATATAACTAGAGGAAGAAAATAAATCCTTATGCCTCCTTTCCACTTTTCAAGCTCCTGGGTCAAATGTGGTTACAACTGTCAAGAGACATGACAGGAGTGTTTATAATTTGAAAATTTTAAAGTCAAGTTCCAGTTTAAAATTAGACTTGGGAACATTAAAAGACATACAGACTAATCTTAAAGATAAAATTTCTTAACTTTATTTCCCAAGTTTGAAAATAATTCATTGTCAAAATGTTTTCAGATCACTACTGGTCAGCTATTCAGTATGACTGTGTGTGTGTGTGTGTGTGTGTGTGATTGTATATTGAAGCAAATTAAACATGCATGTATACATGTGATGATGAGTTTTATAAGGATACTGTGGGACAGTATCAGTGTACAATATATACAGTTTCTGAAGACATGTCGTTTAAAGTGAAATTCTGTATAACACTGGGCCAGTTGATGATGGATTGAAGTCTTTGGGGAACAAAATGGACCAGAAGTAGAAGCAGCAAGCAGTAGCCTTTTACCTTGCTGTAAAAAAGATTACATTCTTACCCGTGGAGTGGCGAAATTAAAGTTTGAAGGAAAGTGCGAACTGATAGTAGCTGCTCTTTGAGAAGAAGAATACACTCATGCTTCAGAGACAAGTGGAGCCGAGGCGAGCCGAGCACTGACAGGCGGAGCCTCTTGGGTGCTCGTTTGTGCCAGCTGCTCTGTAAATCTCTGCTGGGTTCTGGGTGTCTGCTTGGGAACTGGTGTACTTGGAAGCCAAATGTTATTTTCCCATGGAGGCCATGTTGCCCATTCTGCCCTTTCACAGCCAAAAGTGATGTCTCTGAATCAGTGTGTACCTTCCCATTGGGAGTTTCAGAGCACCTTGGAAAGCAGGTAGAACACCTGCCACTCTGTGAAGGGCCATTTCACCAACAGGAGATCCTAGAATTTGGAATTACTAGTGCCAGTTTATGGTCTGTGAACATGGTAACAAAAGGCTCTAGTTTTCTTTCCAAAATCCAGTGCTAATTTCTAGAAATGGAAAGAATACGAATGTTGATAATCTGAGAGTGGGCATTTCTAAATGAAGGTCTCCCTTGCGGAGCCTTTCTGTATGTCCTTGTGTCTCAGGACCTGTGAGAGAGGCACCCACCTGGATGATCACACAAATCAGGTACCCTGGCATATCCCTGTCTCTTGACTTTTTTAGGTTATTGCCCTGGAACGTTGTTCTCATTAGTATCTCTTGAATTTCTGTCATCCGTGATTGCAACCGGGAAATCTTCCCAGGGCCTCCTTAGAGTAAGGAGTCTGTCTCGTACGGGGATTTATGAGGAGTAAGTGCCATCCTCCCATCATACCCACTCTGCCCTTTGGCAGACGTCTCCCATCCTTGCCATCCACACTTAGTGCTCTGACCAGAAACAGCTTGCAAATGCTCGAGCCATGGTTCCCTCCTGTTCCCTGTCCTGACTGGCTTTAGGAATGTCTGATATCACCTTTATATCTGACAATGATGGTGCGGGGACAGTGACTTCTTGCCACCAGGCCCCTGTGAGGGTCCCTCTGCAGTGTCAGAGGACTGCACGTACTTGTCCTTTTCTGAATGCCTTGAGTTCTCAGTGTGAGGAGCTTTGAGCTGTTCTTCTCAGGTCACAGACAGATTACCCAAATTTAACATTATAGGGCTGTCACTACCATTATACTGCAGCAGCCTAGATCGTCGCTAGGTGTTGTTTGATCTGCTGAAAAAAGAGCTGCACCCCAAACAGTCTTCAAAGCTGACTACACAGCAAAGCTCCAACAACCAGAATAAAACATTTTAACACGGCACGGATGAGTATGTGTATATATGCACATATAAAACATATACCTCAGTTCACAAACATGAACCATTTGGTGCACAGAGCGTTTGGTGCACAGGCAGCAAAATTTGGTAAAATTTTGCTGTCTTTCGCAACCCCTGCGTTAGCCACACCATCCTCCCCACATGACCATGACTGCGCTGTCTTCCCCGCAGTCCACAACTAAGTTCGTGAACCAACACACCACTGTATGTGCATAATATAAACTATGTCCTGGAGTCCATCAGTATAGACTAAACTGTTCTAGAGTTTTTTACTATTCCTCTAACGTTTTGAATAATCAAGTTTGACAGGGACAAATAAGTCCATTTTTGAGACCATTGTGCCAGAGTGAGTACACATTAAAACGCTTCTCTGGCTCCCTCCTTCCCACTGTGATTATCCCCGTATTTTTCATACCAGAAGAAAGTCTTCTTGTAATTGGCTCAGGAAAGGATGACACAGCGCGTATGTGAAAACTATCCGAGACTTGGGATTCTGAGGCTGGTCCCACACCAAGTATAGACGCCAGTCAAGAAACCGTTTCCATTTAAACAAAGTTAGTGTCCTCATCCCTCTCATTAATTAGTTTTTATCCATTTGAGAAGCCTAATTTTCCTAGAAAAGTAACAAGTAGTTTGAGGTTTCCTTAGAAACATTTCTCTGTAGTGTTTTAATTTATAAACAAGACGTGGCAAGTGTTCTGTCTTACATACACACACACACACACACACACACACACACACACACACATGCGTGCACACACACCGGTCGTTTTTCTGCCTCAGTGGCCCCTCTCTCCCTCGTTCCTTCCTCCTGTCACCTCTGTGGTCCAGGTCCTCACTTGGCCCCCACCTTCTCTCCTGCTGCCCCCATTGGAGTCAGAAGCCAAAGCTGCTCCATCACCCACAGCTCATATCACCCTTACCCTCTGGCCTTGTGAGAAAGTCCAGGTTTCTCTGCTGGTGTACAGAAGTCATCTATTTTTCACTGCCCTAACAACATTCCTGTAAAGAACAGTTTCCTACAGTGCACAGTTTGAGAGGCTGAAAGTCCAGATAGATGGTACCATGCTACCATGGTTCTCTGGCAAGAACCCTCCCCAGCCATGTGAAATCCCGATGTTTAGAGCCACGCAGGAGCTCATGTCACCAAAGGGCTCGAGTGAGAGACAGGAAGCTAGAGAGCAGGCAGCTGGGGGCTGGAGGACTGGCTCTTTTATGACAGCCTTCTTGTGAGAACTACTCATGGAGCACAGTGCCCTGGAACCTCCATGGACTGCACCCCTGTAAGGCCCTGTGGCCCCCTAAAGTTGCAACCCTGGGGACAAAGATTCCAGTCTGTAACACGAGGAGGGGCATGCTCCAGCCCCAGCCACACCGTAGTGGTCATCTCCCCATCATAAGGACTGCTGCATTGTGATACCAAGAACACTTGTATCTGTGTATGTTACAGCCCAGCACTGCAGGTCACATTCCTGTTTGCCTGGGACCCTGTGCTCCCAGACTCCACCCATGCTGCGCGTGCACCATGGCAACAGCCAGCAAAATATTGGCTCTTTCAGTCACTGAAAACCCTGGTTATTAAATCCAGGGATGCTCTGTTTGGAAGGCTCTTGAGCTAATGTTCTGGGTCCTCTGAGCTGAGGAAACTCTGAAGCATGGTTTGAGGGGTAGCGCTGGGCTCCCTTCCTCCTCAGAGAGCGTAACTGTCTAAGCCCTTTGCTCTCAGC